TGGTGATCATAAGACAGACAGCATATATTGGTAATCATAAGTCATGCAGCACAATATATTGGTAATCATACATCATGGTGCAGCACATTCTGGTAATCATAGGACAGGCAGCACATATCGGTAATATTAAGTCATTTAGCACTTATTGGTACGTAATCATCAATCATGCAGAACCTTTTCGTAATCAAATATTATTTTTTTTATAGTAGAGGGTTTTACGATGCTCGCAACTGCATAAGGTCATATGAGCGCCAAGGGGTGGGTGTCAACAGAGAAGTCTTTACAGGGAATCAGACTTAGACTGCTCACCTCTCTAGCTTCAACAGCACAGGGTCTGCTTCGACTATCAAGGCACCCCAAAATAGCAGATCACAAGAGAGTGACAAACATACAAAAGAAGTAGAGGCAAAATGACGATAGTAAGGATCAGGAAAGAAAAAGCAGCAGTTCCCTGTTGTAGACCAGGCACAGTTATGAGCGTGACATGAGTCAGCCCATTTACAATTCTACTATGCTTGAACGAGAAATGTCCCCCCTTTGGGAGTGGCCTAAAGACACTTCAGTCAGTGGCACTGCCCTGGGGGGTTAAAAACAGATTAATGTCCCCCCTTTGGGAGTGGCCTAAAGACACTTCAGTCAGTGGCACTGCCCTGGGGGGATCGTGATCAAAGAACAGGCAATACATTATATTGACAATCATAAGCCAAGCTGCACCTACTATTAAGAGCCACCACATGGTGGAACCAGGTGAAAAATGGTATGAGTTTCACGTCCCTATCAACACTATTAGGTTATTTAAGAGGCGGGACCTCCTAATTTAACGTCCGTCTCCAATAGGACCGAGCCAAGTGGGAAGTTCGTGTAAAGTGCCTTTCCCAAGGACACAACGTCGGACTGAGTTGAGGTTCGAACCCCCGAACCTGCAATCTCACGATTACGAGTCCGGTAGCCCAACCACTAGGCTACCGACGCCACCGTGGAATCAGGTGCTCGTCAATTTTTGGGATTATTGAGATATTGGTATCATTATAAAGCTTATTCATTTGTCTTGCTTTCAACATATAAATTACGCATTTATCTTCAGTAGAAGAAGAGATATTTTGGATTGAAGGAAGAGGGAGTCACCTGATTTCAGAGGTAAAAATAGCAAGATAATGACAGCCAAAGTTTGGTGACTTCCAAAGCTGGAGAGTCCAAGGAAACTGTAAAGTTACATTTTTAGTGCCTTTAATTAATCAACGTTGTTAGATAAAATCCCCACAGGAATTTGTTGTTACGGGGAGCGACCCTTGATTTTGCCGATTTTGGGTCAGGCTATGCACATTGAGATGTCGGCTGATTTTTGAAGATCAACCAGTTCTTTGTCTAAAAATGGCATGGAGACATTTGAGAAAGTCTTTATTCTCCTCGTAAATTGCCTTTGAAAAAATGAGGGGGGTAAATGTAGTGAATTTTCACAATAATGGTTGTTTTTCGCACAATGTCTTTTTTTTTCCAGGTTTTTCCCTACTCCTTCCTTACTTTTCACTCTTTTGACATGAAACTTTCAGGAAAAATAGATGGCAAGGCTGCCATCAATGTAAAAGAGAGATTTTACTATGCCTAACTTATATGTGTACTAAGATTTGATCTCGAGCAACAAACATAAAAAATGGTCCTCAAGGGTCTCTCCTCCCGTTAAATGGATATAAACTAAGGGTGGGCCGACTCCGAGAACTTCCGAACTTTCGACTCCGAACATTTTTGGGCGCGAATTCGTCGACTTCGACTCCGAATTCGAATTCAGGTCAAGATAGCAGCCAATCAAATTTGAGGAGAGGCAAGGTCAATTCGGTGGGATTCGTGTCAAGTCAAGTCGTTCTCCCTACAGCCGTCGAGTCGAAAACGCTGTAGAGAATCCCGACGCCACGGACCGGTGTAGACACAGGGGGCGGGGAGGGGGAGGGGGAAGGAGCAGGGAAGAGGTCACAGAGGTCGGGATTGAGGCAGGCAATGTTTTCATTGACATCAGGGGAGGGCACCAGTTTGTTTTGAAAGTTATTTGCCCCTCGTTGACAGTACAGCCGCTTTCATGTGCGAGGATAATGAATGCAAACAGGTCATAATAAAAATCAAAGCATAAAATCCAGCAGTCTCGAACTCTAAAGTCAGACCATGCATTAATCAAAGCAACAGTCAGCAAGACAGAAGTCTATAAAAAATAACAGTAATAGATCTAGATTTAGATCTATATCATAATCAACATTTATTATGACAAGATGAAACATACAAGGTTGAAAACAAACATGGAGTAATGCAAAAGAGACAAGAAATGTGACAATGTAAATGTAAGTGCCAGACAGGTCGTAAGAAAATACATGTAAATAGTACAATGAAGAGAAGAAAAGTAGTGAAATGTGTGTGATCGCAGTGAAAGCCAAAGAAAGAAGGAGGCTGGGATAATCACGGGATTTGAATTTGACGTGAAGATGGCTTGCAATTGTGATTGGTGCAATCAGAGACGCAATGCTCGTCCGTCACCGTAGTGCGTAAAATTGACCTTGGCCTCTAAGGGCATAACCACTAGCAGAAGGGATTTGTAACTGCTAGCGAATCAGCGCGTTCTAAAGGCTCATGTGACTTTCATTGAGTCGATGGAATCGTGGGACGGTCCAATTCGAACTCGCCGCTTCCTTCTGAACACAGCGAGGGGAAAATAGAAATCAGACATCGTGTTTTATGATACTTATGCATTTTTATTCATTTATTGGTAAATCTAAATTTTGAGCGTCCAAAAATGTTTCTTGGGTGCAGTTTTGCGTAAAATTATTCACAGTTTTAAACAAATTAAATATGTTTTCGCTCCTCGTGATCTATTTTCCCCATGGCTGCCCTAGTTCGGGAATTCGTGTTCGGACTCGCCCTCCTGCCCAATGTCCGATCTCCGACTCAGACCCCACGAATTCGTCGAATTCCGAATCTCGACTTGACTTCGCCCATGCTTAATATAAACGGTATTGAGCTGAAAAACAAAAATTCTATAAAAATTGCCAAGCGGAAAGAAAAATGCTGTTTTCTTCGATTTCATTATTTTGACAAGCACTAGGTTCCACCATGATGCCTCACATAATATTGGTAATCATAAGCAGACCTGCCACTCTATGAAATCTAAAAATCAGGATTTTAAAGTAAAAAAATCAGGATCTGATCAGTCATGCAGCACACATTGGAAATCATAAGTCATGCAGAACATTTTAGTAACCATAGGACAAGCAAAAGGCTTCTTCATCACATCATAATCCCATCAGCCCCACAAACACACATCCGGACATCTTTGTGCTCTTCACATCATCCAACAGAAGCACTGTAATGTAATATTATTTTGAGCTATCCCTTTTTCCCAACAAGTTTCAAGCAGAACAAAAAAAACAAAAAAACAAAACAATGGAAAACAAAAGTAAGTGACATGCTCAGAGAAATCACAGCCCCGGAAAACAAAATATCTGAACCCTCACTCTGTCCCTGACATCAGTCATCCAATGACATCACAATCACTTACACACTATTCATCTGATGACACCACAAACACCCACATAAGCCATCTCATGACATCACAAACATTTACATGACATCACAAACACTTACACCAACCATCTCATGACATCACAAACACTTACACCAACCATCTGATGACATCACAAACACTTACACCAACCATCTGATGACATCACAAACACTTACACCAGGAATCTCAAGACATCACAAACACTTACACCAGGCATCTCAAGACATCACAAACACTTACACCAACCATCTGATGACATCACAAACACACATCAGTCATTTGATGACATCACAAACACTTACACATCAGTCATTTGAGGACATCAAAAACACTTACACTACACCAATAATCATATGGCGAACAAAGCAACAAGAACGCCTTATTGTTCTGCTGCACAACAGACACCGGTTTGGGTTTCTATGCAACAGAAACAGTGACCATTGTCGGTTCACATCTTTATACAGCAAACAGACAAACACACTGACACACACACACAGGCAAACAGACAGACAGAACCACTGACACACACAGGCAAACAGACAGACACACTGACACACACACACAGGCAAACAGACAGACGGAACCACCAACACACACAGGCAAACAGACAGACACACTGACACACACACAGAGGCAAACAGATGGACAGAATCACCAACACAAACAGGCAAACAGATAGACAAGACAGAAAGACAGACACATGGGCACATACAGGCAAACAGAATAGACAAGACAGAAACACCAACACACACAGACAGACAGACAGACAGACACACTGACACACACAGGCACACAGATAGACAGAGCCACTGACACACACAAGACCCACATGTTCCTCAGCAGAAAAACAAAATAAAAAACAACAAAAAGCAACCATTACTATAGTGTTCATCTGTCCGTAAATGCAAAAAATATGACAGAAATGTTCAGACAATATTTTACTGTTCATTTTTTCAGGTCAAGAAATAATATCAGTCAGCAGAAGACAAAAATGAACAGCTTAGTCTGACCTTTCTGATACAGGTAAATGCACCCAGTATGGGCATGCAAGGGTATGTCATTCTACTGTCCCCAGAGAGAGGGGGAGGAACGGGAGAGAGAGAGAGAGAGAAAGAGAGAGAGAGAGAGAGAGAGAGAGAGAGAGAGAGAGAGAGAGAGAGAGACATAAAAAGGAATAAAATAGCAGACAAGAAGACTTAACACAGACAGTAAATGTCCACTTTACAGAGATACAGATGTCCTTGCAGTAGAAGTGAACACAGACAGACAGATAGACACACATCAGACAGAGATAAAGACGTCCTTGTAGTAGACGTAGACAGAGACAGACAGACAGACACACATCAGACAGACAGACAGACACACATCAGACAGAGATAAAGATGTCCTTGTAGTAGACGTAGACAGAGACAGACAGACAGACACACATCAGACAGAGATAAAGATGTCCTTGTAGTAGACGTAGACAGAGACAGACAGACAGACACACATCAGACAGACAGACAGACACACATCAGACAGAGATAAAGATGTCCTTGTAGTAGAAGTAGACAGAGACCAAGACCCAGAAGGTCGCCCCCCACAAGTTGAGGGCCAGCAGCGAGGCGTGCGTCTTCGGGACCACAAACGACACGGGGGCTTTGCCGGAGAAAAACTCGTGACCACAGTACAGAGCGATGGAGTTCATGCCTGGGGACAGATCGGGGGAAAAAACACAATCCGGTTAGAGGAGGGAGAAACTTGTAGTAACAATTGGGGCAGTAAAGGGAACACTTAATTGGGCCAGTCATGGCTGCCACTCAGGAATTTCAAAAAAGGCGTACGAGCGCGCTCTCCGAAAGCGGAGTAAAACCAGTGGGATCCAGAGGCAATATATGGGAACATCTAGCCTATGTCTTTGGAAGGGAAAACTGTCATATTTGTTAACCATAGGCTACTGAATTAAAATGTATTTGAAAAAAAAACCCAACAACAACAAAATAAGACACTAAGTTGTCTAAAAAGCATTTGACAAAGTTTGGTGACTAAAAATCCAGTGTTCGTTGCCAGCTGGTGTCTCATACAAAGATTTCTTTCACTTTAAACTTGTGCATCGACGTAGAGCAATATTGGATCACGGAGGCAATGCCTTTGCCGCTGTACTGAGCGATTTCTTTATTGCACCAAATACAAAGTGCAGCAAGCGTCTTGTTCAATTTTCTAATAATAATAATAATAAATTGCATTTATATAGCGCATTTCCACAAAGAAGTGCTCAATGCTTTATTTTCTAACAAACTTTTCAAATTGCACACTGTCTGCTTTTTCTCATTCCAGCTCCTTTTATTTTTGCATTCTGCATCAATTTCTCTCGAATTTCCGCCGTTTTCAATGACAACTCGGCACACCAACGTCCTGATGCTCGATGGACACTGTTTGCTTCACAATAAACAATGTGAAACTAGAGCTAGGCACAGAAGAATGGAAGTAGAAAGCTACGGGCCGACATGGGCAAGCCCCGTTTTCGTCTCTCTCCCGGTTCGGTGTTTTCCGTGTGTAAAAAAAAGTATCGCAATAATAGCGACCGAGAGCAGCCCAGCGAAGGAACGAGGAAAGTAGCAGAAAAGTGGCAGCTATGGCCTGTGAAGGGAGAAACTAGAGAAACTGGTTGTATCAATTGGGTCAATGGAGGGAGAAACTAGAGAAAATTGTTAGATCTATTGGGTCAATGGAGGGAGAAACTAGAGAAAATTGGATCAGTGGAGGGAGAAACTGGTTGCAATAATTGGGTCATTGGAGGGAGAAATCTGTTGTAACAATTGGGTCATTGGAAGGAGAAATTTGTTGTAACAATTGGGTCATTGGAGGGAGAAATTTGTTGTAACAATTGGGTCATTGGAGGGAGAAACTAGAGAAATTTGTTGTAACAATTGGGCCATTGGAGGAAGAAACTAGAGAAATTTGTTGTAACAATTGGATTAATGTGAGGAAAAGTGGTTTAGTGGAGGGAGAAACTTGTAACAATTGGGTCAATGTAAGGGAAAACTTATTGCAAAAATTGGGTCAGTGAAAGGAAAAACTCGCTGTAAAAATTGGGTCATGGGAGGGAGAAATGCGTTGTAACAATTCAAAAGCATTCTTTCTAGTTTTAGAAAGAGTTTTATGGCACTGGCAACACAATTAGGTTACACAAGTGCCGAAGATTAGAGGTGTTGCAAGAGGGTAACATAGACAAAATAGAAGGAGGAGAGATAAGGACAATAAACATTTAAAAGGAAAAAAGGAGCAAACCCCACCACAGCACTCGATAAAACCATTCACTCGCCTGCATTCACCTGCGTTGAGTAAAGTTTGTCTCATCTGCGCTGGGTAAAGTTTCTCTCACGAACATACACCTGCATTGAGTAAAGTTTGTCTCATCTGTGTTGGGTAAAGTTTCTCTCACGAACATACACCTGCGTAGAGTAAAATTTGTCTCACCTGCGTTGAGTAAAGTTTCTCACCTGCGTAATAAAAGGGTGCCCCGGTCCAGACCTTGTAGACGTCAATGAGGAGATAGCAGACCATGAGGAGGAAGAAGGCCATGCCAGACAGGGCCAGGACGAAGGACAGAGACCTGTTGGGATGGTAACAATAAATCTTTCTTTATTTCTCTCTCTTTCTCTGTCTGTCTGTCTGTCTGTCTCTCTCTGTCTGTCTCTCTCTCTCCTCTTCCCTGGTTCTAACTTTCTCTCTCTGTCTCTGTTTCTCTCTATGTTTAGTGTAAAAAAGTACACATCTCTAAAGGTAAAAAAGTACACATCTCTTAATGTTTTGTGTAAGAAAGTACTCGTCATTCAATGCATGTACTTCAAATGTTTTGGGCAATAAAGTACGCATCACATCTCTCAGTGTTCTGTGGAATAAATTACATGTCTGTCGATGTTTTGAGAGATAAAGTACACGTCCGTAAATGTTTCGTGTGATAGAGTACACAGCTCTCAATGTTTTGTGTAAAAAAGTACAGAGCTCTCAATGTTTGTGTAAAGCGTTGACATCTTTCAACGTTTTGGATAAAAAAAAAGTAGGCCTACACATCTCTCAATGTTTTATGTGATAAAGTACACGTCTCTCAATGTTTTGTGTAAAAAAGTACACATCTCTCAATGTTTTGTGTACAAAAGGATGCAGCTCTCAATGTTTTGAGTAGAAAAGTACATGTCTCTCAATGTTTTGCGTACAGAAGTACATATCTCTCAATGTTTTGTGTAAAAAAGGACGCAGCTCTCCATGTTTTGTGTCAAAAGTACACGACTCCCAATGCTTGTGTAAAGCGTTGACATATCTCCCTGTTTTGTGTGATAAAGTACATGTCTCTCAATGTTTTGTGTAAAAAAGTACACATCTCTCAATGTTTTGTGTACAAAAGGACGCAGCTCGCAATGTTTTGAGTAGAAAAGTACATGTCTCTCAATGTTTTGTGTACAAAATACATGTCTGTCAAGGTTTTGTGCATTAAAAAAAACCCAAAACCCCCACAGCTCTCAATGTTTTGTGTAAAAAAGTACACATCTCTCAGTGTTTCGTGTGATAAAGTACACTTCTCTCAATGTTTGTGTAAAAAAGGACGCAGCTCGTAATGTTTTGTGAGATAAAGTACAAGTCTGTCAATGTTTTGTTTAAAAAAAGTACAAGTCTGTCAATGTTTTGTGTAAAAAAAAAGTATACGTCCCTTAAAGTCTTGGGTACAAAAGTACGTGTCTCTCAGCACACATCTCTCAATATCTTGTGCAAAAGAATTGATGTCTCACCACAAGTTTTTGTTGATCGGGATCCAGCCGTCATTGAGGGATGCTTCACACAGCACCAAGCTCAGACCTCCCTGTGGGCAGTAGGGAAACACGCTTGGATTAGTGAATCAAGTTAAAATACACGCCTTGATTAGTGAGTCAAGTCAAATTAAATGCCTTGATTAGTGAGTCAAGTTAAAATACACGCCTTGATTAGTGAGTAAAGTCAAAAGACACTTCTTGATTAGAGACTCAAAATACACGCCTCGATTAGCGAGTCTAAATAAACACTGCTTGATTACAAAATCTAAGTACAAACCTTGTTTGAGTTTAGTAAAAGCTTTAAGTTTAGTTTTAGTAGAGGTTTTATGGCGCTCGCAACTGTATAAGGTTATATGAGCGCCAGAGGATTAGAGGGGTCACAAGAGAGTTACAAACATAAAAAAGAAGGAGAGATAAAAATGACAGATGTTTGATAGGAAAGAAGAAGCAAACCACACCAGAGCACCCGCCAACCACCCTCTTCTGCAGGTCATCATCCCCTTATGAGTGTCAACTGTCATGAAATGTGAGGCAGCGTGGTGGAATCAGGATCTCGTCAATTTTTGGGCATGTAGAGTTATTGGTATCATCTTAAAGCTTGTTCACTTGTCTTTATTGGGATGAAAAAAATATCCGTTTATCTTGAATAAAAATCGAGATATTTGCGAAAGAAGGAGGTGGGGGTCACCTGTTTTCAGAGGTAAAATTAGTGAGAAAAATGCCGCAAAAGATTAGGTATTTCCTTAGCTTAAGAGTCCCTGGTAACTGAAAATTTACATTTTTTGTGCATCTAATCAACGTTTTTCAGAAAATTCACACAGAAATGAGTTCCTTAACTCACTGGGGACCAATCACGAGTTATCTCGTGATGGCTTCCCGTCGCCTGAGGACCGATCATGAGTTAACTCGTGATGAGAATAAAACCCCGAAAAATCGTCCAACCCCATATATTATCCATGTTTATTGTAATATCCGGGTACTCGATCCATTCCTTCTTCCGGTGACCTAAAGAAGAGTGACTCTCAACGAACGAGGGAGATTTTGAAGTTTGTTTTTCAATCGACATCAAATCATGTCTCGACCCCAGCGAAAAAAGGCTACTGAAGTGATTGAGTTCTTTCAGACGCTCGACTCCGACGTTGAAGAAACTGATTCTGATGGGGAATTTTTTGATTCAGGTGAGAAATATTTACATCTTGGCGATAATAGGGTGTTATCACTGCATCTCGGGACTGACTATCACGACTGAGGAGAGAATTTTGTTCTTGATGGAGCAAGTTTAGATCTAGATCTATCACTTTCGAGAAGTAAACAATGCCACGCCTACTTGCCACGCCTACTTTTTGTGTTTACTTCTTGTACCTCATTTCACCATGACAAAGATAACAATCTAGATCTAGATTAGATTTTGTTTTAGTACAGATCTAAAAATCTAGATTTAGATCTAGATCTAGGAGGCTATTTTGAGCTTGTGAATCACTACCAAGCTATTTTCTACTAGATCTAGATCTAGATCTAGAACTGAAGTCATTCCGTAGTACCAAGTCAGGTCCAGACTAAGATTTATTTTGTTTTGCTCTTATTTACATCTAGATTTAGATGTAGCTTTTTAGATTCTGTTTCTAACTCAGGCAAGCATTATAAAATTGAAATTGATGCTCTGTTATATTGAGTCGTCTAAATTTTTCGAACATTCATGTTTATAATTTCAGGTCCTGATGAGGACAGTGACGATGCCGACCCAGGACCTTCAACGTCTGCGGGACGGCCTCCTAAACGCATGCGACCGTCTGGTGATGTGACACCTGCGCCTGCACCTGCACCTGCACCTACAACTGCACCTACACCTGCACCTGCACCTACACCTACAGGTGACTGGACTGAGGATCTCACTGGGTTTCCTCCTGGGGTCCCCTTTACTGGGCAGCCTGGCGTGCACGTACCAGATAATGTCGTGACTCCTTTGGATTTTTTCCGTCTCTTCTTCACGGCAGACATCCTACGAGTTATCAAGACAGAGACGAACAGGTACGCTGCTTCGGAGCTGGGTCGAAGACAGCTGCCCCCTGAGAGTCTCTACAAGAACTGGAGCACAGTGACACTGAAGGAGTTGTGGGGGTTCTTCACCATCTGGGTGCACATGTCACTGGTCAAGAAACCCTGTCTGAAGGACTACTGGAGTACGGCAGAAATCATCCGCACATCGTTCGCCCCCAAAATCATGTCACGGAACCGTTTCATGCAGATTCTTGGCCTCCTGCATCTCAACGACAACACCACGTACATCCCCCTCCGAGAAACTGGTCATGACCCTCTCCATAAGCTGCGACCAATTATCGATCCCCTTTCTGCTACTTTCCGAGACCTCGTGACCCCTCGACAGAAACTCGTCATCGATGAAGCCATCTGCCCATGGAGGGGAAACCTGCGGTACAGGGTGTACATGAAAGACAAGCCCAACAAGTGGGGGATCAAACTGTACATGCTGTGCGAGAGTGCCTCTGCGTACGTCTGTGCCTTTGAAATTTATGCCGGCGACCCTACCATCAGCAACAAACCCGTGGATGTGTGCCGACGAATGATGACGCCGCTAATGGACAAAGGGTACATTTTGTACACGGACAACTACTACACCTGTCCAGCTTTGTACCAAGAGATGATCGCAGGTGGCACCATGATTGTTGGTACGGTAAGAGCCAACCGTGTTGGTATGCCGAAGGATTTGGCAGCGCTAAATCTAAGGACAGGAGAGAGTGCGTACCGACGGCAAGACAAACTGGTGGCCCTCCGTTGGCAGGATAAAAAGTCTGTCAACCTGCTGACAACGGTGCACGACCCACGGAGAAGGGTGACAGTGAGATCAAGGGCCCAGACCAAGGAGAAACCGCAGGTGGTCCAGGATTACACTCTCAACATGAGGGGTGTAGACCGCAGCGACCAACTCATGGCCTATATGCCTTTCCATCGCCGCACCATGAAATGGTGGAAAAAACTGTTTGGGCATCTGTTTACCCTCATGATGGTGCAGGCATCCATCCTGTACAACAGGAAACAGACGTCAACAGGTGGGAAGCCTCTGCCAATTTCCTAGTTTATCCAGAAGCTTGGACAGGGCATGGCGGAGGAATTCTTGGGCTGGCAAGAAGGAGATTCCGAGGACCCAGCTCCCACACAGCTTGACCGCCTTCACTCACGTTGCTTCCCGGACTACATTCCTTCAACTGAGAAGAAGAAACGTCCCACCCGGAGTTGCAAGGTGTGCTATGAGAAGGCGAAGCAACCGGGCTCCACAATGAAGCGGAAAGAAACGTCGTTCTGGTGCCCATACCACAAAGTACCCCTGTGTGTGGTCCCCTGCTTTCAGGACTTCCACACAAAGAAGGAGTACTGTAACTAAACCCCCTGCCCCCTGGATTACTGGAGTATATACTTATTGGATACACAAGCCTTTGGTGAGTCAAACTGCATGTTTTTGCATGTTATGTTTCGTTTTGCTTTTTCACGAGGCTTCTTGTATTTTCTCTCAACCTCTGTCTGTGCCAACCATGCGGGTTTTGATGCAAAATGTAGTCTCTTTTTCACCAGAATTCCAAGCATACACATGCCTTGCACAATAACAGTTATCAATCTTTACTTTTAGGGTCTTTTTACAGCAAATATACTAACAACCTAGCCAGGGTTGTATCATGGATGCTGAAAATTTTTTTTTTGAATTTCTCAAAAAGGGTGTGTTTTTGAAAAATCGTGAAAAAAAAAGTATCCAACATAGAGGATTTTCGTTAAATGCACTGTGTTTAGAAAGGTTGTATCTGTAAGTGTGCCAAATTTCAGCTTTGTAACCCAACAACAACACCACTAAATAATCTTTTGAAAACCCTCCAAAAACCCTGGTCCCAAGGGTTTGTGTCCGAAAATAGGGCTGGTCCCGAGTGAGTTAATGGGCATGAACGGCGTTGAGCTAAAAAACAAAAATTCGATAAACATTCACAAAACTGCGGAAAAATGCAAGTTTCTTCACTTTGATTATTTTGACGGGAGCCTGATTCCACCACGCTATCTCACAAATAGCTTATAGAATACATCGTGAAAGAGAAAAAAACACTGTATTGAAGTCCCCATGACAAGAATACCGCAACAACAACAGACAGCAGCACATATTTTGTCATCTTTTGTTTTTCTTTTTTGTTTTAATTAGTTTTATGGCACTTGCAACACGATAAGGTCATATAAGTGCCGAAGATTAGGTGTTACAAGAGAGTAACAACCAAACATAAAAAAGGAGGGGAGGTAATGACGATACAATTTGATAAGAAAGAAGAAGCAAACCACACAAGAGCACCCGCAAACCACCAAAAATCACTGTTTATAATTAAACAAAAGGTTTCAATCATTCTGAACATGGTTGGCAAAAAGTAACTCCATGAAAAGCTTACCGTAAGAATGGACCACAGGAAAAATCTGCGGCACCTTTTCACCCAGTCGGAGTGCACAAACAAAATCTTTCCAGCCTGAAATAAAAGAATTTCCCACATGGTATCAAAAACAGTTTAAACAAGCAACGATCATTTCAAATGAAGAAAAATTACGAAAAACTAGTAAATTTCCTTTTAGCAGCAATTTCTCCTCCCCTGAAAAAAAAAATTAATAGAAATTTTTAATTGTCCAACGTAAAACTACGGTAAAATCATTTTTTCTAAAATGCAGTTTGTCTGTTCTGACAGATGTGTCATGTAGAACCCCCTTGAAAACAAGCACATACCTGAAACCCCCCAGACACACATAAAACACGAGTTCTGTACATACCTGAAACCCCCCAAACACACATAAAACATGAGTTCTGTACATACCTGAAGCCCCAAGAAACACATAAAACACGAGTTCAAAGTTCCCAACAAGCCTTCAGGATCATAGCCAACACTCTGCTTATAGATTTCCTGAAAAATAAAATATAAAAGACGATACTTATACGTACAAAACTGAAACATAAAGTTAGTGCACCAAATAAGTGCTACAAAGACACCCTGAAAATGTCTCTGAAAAATTTCAACATTAATCCTTCCACATGGAAGAGCCTAGCTCCTGACTGACCCAGTTAGAGAGAAGCAGTCACAAAGGGCAGAAAACATATGAGGCTTCATGAATTATAAATGCTATAGGTGGAAATTAAGCTTTTAAATGTTCAAAATGTGTTAAACTCTTCACTGCCAAAATAATTCTAATCCGTCATAGCAGAAGCCACAAATCATCTGAATCCCAACTTTTTCTATTTTTCTTAACACACTACACCCTAAGGTAGACCTGCATGTGAGCCTCAACCAGATTGTCTGAAAATTTTGCGCAACCCCCCCCC